CAGCATATATGTTTCTTTCTCTTTCTTTTTTTTTGCGAACAGCCTGTAGGTGTGTGAGTGGTGTGTATCCAGCTGTGCTTTACTTCTCTCTCTCTGTTCATCGTGAAGCGTACAGCAGACCTCTTTGTCTGCCGGTTTAGAGCAGGGTGGGAGGTGAAGAGCAGTTTGTTCATAATGGATTATTGATTGGTCTGAGAATACACTGGCTCTACACTGTGTGTGTGTTTGTGTGTGTGTGTGTTTAAGACTCCATACCGTCCCCTCTGTCCCACTCTAAGCACTGAATGTCTCCACTTTATGAGCAACTGTACTGAGGACAGCAAGGTTTTTTTGTAAAGTGCTCTCTGTATGGTATGCTCCATGAAGCAATGTATGTGTGTGTGTGTGTGTGTGTGTGTGTGTGTGTGTGTGTGTGTGTGTGTGAGCTTCCCTCTGTATGGGCTGTTAAGCTTTCAATGCTGCCTGTATGAAACAGTGTTAAAAGCCCACAGTGTGCGTATATAGACTTTCAAAAGATGTGTGTGGACATTAAAAGCCCCCTCTGTTTTGCTTCTTGATCCCTCAGTTCTCCTGCATGTATGCGTGCGTGTGTTCATTTTAACAGAAGGTCCACTCTTTATTTTTTTTTTCCCCGCTGTGTATTTTTTTCCTTAACCTCAGCTGCTCGCCTCTGTGCTGCCGTGTGGGAGGGAAACAGATCCCATCACGGCTGAAGGATGTCCCACACGAGAACGACCTACAGTCATTACCAGTGATAAGGTGACAGTGTGAGTGAGTCAGTGCATTATGAAAGCCAATCTCCGCACCCTTGGGTGCAGGAGATTTGTGTCATGGCTGTGTCTGAGATGATTGCCATGATGAAGGTGCTTCCTGGCTGGATGACAGTGTTTTCTATCACAGTGGAAGCAAAACAGCGAGGCCTTTTATCGTTGGTGAATCTTCGCCGAACTAAAGCTGCTCTCTTTGGTCCTGTTTTGTGAGCAGATGTGAATACCCTTCTGCATCGTATTGCACCAAATTTCATGTGCAAGCAGATTAGGTGGTCTCTAGAGGGGGCTGTTGAGAATGCTGTTGAGCTGACACAGTTTGTATACTTCTTGATAATTTTTGTGCTTGTTATGGTGTCACAGTAGCGCTGCATTTTTCTGTATTAGGGTCACTTTTTAAGAAGCACTACTGTGTGAAAACAAATGCAAAACAGAAATCTGACATCTATAAACAGGTCCTCAGCTGGCCCGCATGCAGTTTGACACTGTTTTCAAGATTCACTCCAGATGTGGATGTCAGGAGTGTTAGAAACAGAAATAGCCAGGCCGCTCTGTAAAAGAGTGGATGGGAAAATAAGAGTGTGTTTCTTCCTCTTGCCGATCCCCAGCTGCCATGGTTCAGTGTTCAGAAAGCAGAACAGCAGAGGTTGAGCATGTTAGGAAGGAGGGGCGGAAAAAAGAACAGTTTGTTTTTGTTTCACACAGCAGTCATTATCAGCTGAGTGTAGGCCTCCATTGGCTCCCGGTGACTCATGGCAGAGCATCTTGAGTGTCCATTAATGGCATGTCTGATACCGGAGAGGCCATGTTCCCAATTAGGGTTAGGTCGTAGTATTAAAGAGAGATCATTTTCCTGCAAGAGATAAAAGACAAGTGTTAAATGTTTCAATCAGAATGCAGCACTTAAACACACTTAACGAAGAAAATAAAACACCAATTTCAGCTCAAGTTTCAGCTGCACATTGTCGCTGTCTCTGTCTTGTTAGCTCTTCTTCTCTCTGTGCGTGTGTGTGTGTGTGTGTGTAAGGTTAATTAGCTGGAGGATGTCAATGACAGTCAAGGTTTACAAAGTGGACTGGTCTTGGTAGCTCCGGGAAAGACACTGTATCCACTTATTGTGTTATGTTGCTCTTTAATAGAGCTTTGAAGCCTCCTGTCTTTTTTGATGACTTCGATGATTGGTAATCTTCTCCGTCTCTCCTGGACAGTTTCTCTCTCCTTAAGCCGATTTATCTTTTTTTTTTTTTTTTTTCCTTCCCTTTAGCTTTAATGGTGAGGAGCCTGCATTGTTTCCCTTCTGGTGCTTAATCTCATTACATTTCAATTTGCACATGTGACTGTCTGGTGGATGACAGGCTTACTGTTGAATAGTCTCAACCCCTCCCAGCCCTCCTGACCCCCAGTCAGCAAGGCCATTTAATAGGAAATAAGATCATTATCCTTTGTTTTTGGTGCCAGAACTGGAAGAAACTACCAAGTATTAATGAGTAACACTAGGATGTGGAGACAGAGAACAGATGGAACAGATGGAAGGAAACACTATAGTGGATGAATGGTTTGGGGTTAGACAGCTTTGTTTTCCTTATTTTGCTCTTACATGTCCATCATCTGCTGATTGTCTCGTTAGTTGGATACAGTGAAAAAGTTTGTGATATTTATGACTCTTTCCAGTAAAACCTCATGTTAGTCATGGTATTTGCTCTTTTGAAGACTCTTTCTAAGATTTTGGGTTTTCTGCCTTTACTAGACAGTTTTGGTATATCTTATGTAAGTTAGCCACAGATATTGATCTCATCAGATGCTGCGTCTCCTCAAAATCTCTGCACAATAAATCAATATAGTCTCATGATGTTGAAATAATATAAACTGACTTTTACAACAGTGCACAACTGCGCTGCACTGTCTCCCAGAAATTACTTTCTTATACAACTAAACTGCATTCTCAATCATGTTTTAAACAAAATATATTTCCTTCATAAAAGATTTTGAGTTTTATATATATATAAATTAACACAAGGAAATCATGTCTCCAAATGAGTCCAGTGATTGTTACTATTAGATCAGAGATGGGCATGAATGAATTTCAATGCAAACCACAAATGTGAACTTTGTGGCACAAAAAGGAGAAGCCTGGAGTCATAAAGATTCATCCTCTGGGATACATGAATGTCTGCCTGATTTTGTGCCAATCCATCCAGGAGATAAGCGGAAACTTTGGAAAGTCAGGGGACCATAAAAGTCATCAGGATTGATCCCCTGGGGGTCATGGATACAGGTAGAAAATCTTATGGCAATCCATCTAACAGTTGTTGAGACATTAATCTTGATTAAAGTGGTGGAGCGACTGACCGACTGACTGTCAGTGTCCCTGCACTATTAAAGGTTTGGAATTTTCAGATGCTTGCCGAAACTGCAAGCCTCTATCATCTTTAGATCAACATTGATTGTATTATGTTTAGACGGTAAGAGGTCCAGATCTGATAATATACTTTGTTCCAAAGTAATGTCAGCCGCAGCTGCACTTCTGGCCGGGACAGTGCTTGTTCACTGCAAGCCTCAGCTTAGTAAGCACTCCAGGAGGAAGCATGGTGAACCATCGAGGCTGATTTCAATAGCATAAATCATTCCAGATAGATAGGTGGCTCTGGTGCAAGGTACTCATTTTCAGTGCAAGAGTTTAAGACATATGATTGTTCTTGTGCTAACTTCCCTCCTCCACCACCTTATCCTCTTATGATTATGATCAATTATCCACTTATAATTAGAGCCTGGCAGTAACTCAGCTCATGTGCTCTGACACTTTATGTAATTGCCTGTAATAATGTTGTCAGTCACATTTCATATAGTCCACACTTTCAGGCAGATTTCCCATGGAAATTTCTTTTCATGTTTCACTTTGGTGATAGAAGTTGGATCTTATTTTATACATAAAATGTGTCATTTTAATCAATAAAGCTGTCTCATTTAATGGTGTTTCACTGAGCTGACAGGCAGAAAAGACATAAAAATGTGATTAACCTTTAATCAGTCTTGTGAGAAGATTGGGACTTAAAATAACATGTCACAACATAAATAATGGGTCATAGTGAAGAAATATGGGGAAAACATCTGACAATTTCAACATACGTTTGGCACAATAGATCTAAATGTATGCGTATGTATTACTGCATGATTTTTAGGCTTTGTAACGACAGTAGTCGAGCAAACTGACCGAGAAACTGTTGAAAATATGCAAATTATGGAAGTGTTCCACCTACAAAATATATGCGGTATGAAATTAGTCAACACTGTTTAGGTCTTTGTCTGTCTTCTCTTATCTCCCTCTCTCTTTCTCTTTCTGTTTGACTGTCTCCCCGAACCTATTCAACTCCAGTTTGAGAAATAGAGCAAAGCAAACTGTCTGAAGAGCCACTTCCTGTTGTGTACTTAAGATCCCTGTCATGTGATAGTGTCAGTTGAGGCGGGTGTGTGAGGCCAGTATGGGGAGGGAATATGGTGGCACTGCTGATCTTGCTGATGTGAACATGACTCCCCCCCCTCAACTATCACCCTGATTGTGTAAAGTGTTGACTCAGCTACTGTGGCGTCAGAGCCCCCAAGCCCTGCACGACTCGTGCACAGTCACAACACGCACACACAAACGTTGCCCACACGTGCATGCACATGTATAGTGGTGCACAATGCAAGTACAGACGAGTAGTGGCCTACACACGTGGTAATAACCCACGTAATCTCAATTTATACAGATAAATGTTAGAAAATGGTTGTGTGTTTTGTGTCTTCAATGGATTTTGGGGGTCGAGGGTCTGTGTCAGGGTATATCTAGATTTAGCTATGGGTGTTATATTCGATTTTAAATATTTGGCTCACCAATTTGTATATATAGTTGTATAGTTTCAAAAAGAGATTGTGCTTTTCCCTTTTACTTGCTAATTATGGATGTGTTTGTAGCCCTACCCAAAAGGGAAAAAAAGTTTCTGAAAATGCTAGCATTAATCTATGTGCGTATTACCTTATGATGTTACACTAACCTGATGTCTTAGCGTACCTATGTTTTATTCATCTCAACATTAGCAAACAAGCATACAGATTCACCCATACAGTCTACCTTCCGTAACTCGCTTAGCTGTGCTTTCAAATAGTAAATTAAGTTTTCTTAAAATGATGTAGCTTCTCTAACATGTTCTTTCTTTTCTCACCCTTCCCTCCACTCCCTCTTTTTTTTATTCTCAGGTGGATGGTATACGTGCAGGCCCCTGCTATAGAGAGCTCACAATTATGTCACTGGAAGCTGGTGATACATATAAAAACTGATGACGAAGAAACCTGCAAAATGAAGAACAGAAGCGTGGTGCATTAGCCACTCTGATGCCTGTCCAAACTCTACTGACTCAATGATGACCTGAAACTAAGTGATACCTTCACATAATTCTGACGAAGAGATTGTTTCATCTCAGTTACATACTGTACGCTAGGCTTTTGTTAGCCTGAAAAAGCAAATGAAAAGTTGCTTTTTATGGTTTGAGTCACTGAAGATGGATACATTGTGTGGCATCCAGTAACCTGGATTTTGCAATCTCAGCTGCTCTGTTAGCAGCTTGATCGCTGGATGATTGAGTGCAGATAGCATTTTTAACTGACCAGCAAAGGCACACTATACATCCCTAGATGTACAGCTGCAGATAGCAGTAGTTTCAAGTGTTATTGAGCTTGTAAAAGGCTAGCTAGACAGGGTAGTTTAATTTATACCATGAATCCCAGAGACAGTGTGGAGGTAATGGAGACCCAGGCAGGAGGTCAGAAGGAGAAGCTGAGTGGAGACAAGGCCAATCCTGGAAATGAGATTGAGGGTGAGGACGACAAAATCCCTGGGTCTTACGACTGCAACATCTGTGGACGCAGCTTCCCTTTCCTGAGCTCATTGTCGCAGCATATGAGACGGCACACAGGTGCACGCCCTTACAAATGCCCCTACTGTGATCACAGGGCCTCGCAGAAGGGCAACCTCAAAGTCCACATCCGAAGCCACAAACTGGGCACACTGTCGAGCCATCACTCTAATGAAGATGAAGAGGGTGGTGCTGAGGAGGAGGAGATGAGGGTTTCAGAGGGTCTTGATGGAGGTACCAGTCCAACTAAGAGCAGCTCAGCCTGCAACCGGATGATCAATGGCGACGGTGGCGAGGAAAGTCGGAGAAAAGTGCCTGCAAGGAGCATGAAAAGGGAAAAGTCTGTCACTGACCAGCGGCCTTATTGTTGCCGTCTGTGTGGCTACGAGGCCCAGCGGGAAGATCAGCTCCTCAGCCACATTGAGAAAGTCCACATAACAGCCGACACAGAGGAGGAGACCCCAGTTAAGGAAGAGGCGGTGACTGAACCTGATGTCGTCCAACCCCAGAGCGACGGAACCTTCCCTTGTGAGACTTGTGGCCAGGTCTTCACACAAGCCTGGTTTTTGAAGTCGCACATGAAAAAACATGCAGGGATCCTGGACCACTGCTGTCGGATTTGTGGGAGACGTTTCCGTGAAGCTTGGTTCCTCAAATCTCATATGAAAACACACAACACCAAATCCAGGTCACGGTCAAAAGCAGATTCAGCTGAGCATCCAGCCACCATCAACGATGTAGCGCAGGATCCTGATATTGTTACTGGCTCTGTTACATCTATCTATCAGATGTGCTCCAAATGTGGGAACCTGTTTCACAACAGAGAGAGCCTGAGGGCCCATGATAAAGTTCACAGTCTCAGCTTTGGCAGGAAATCCTCAAACAAATGCAGACCCAGTGAAGACGAGGACTCACCAGCTGCTAAAAGACGATTCCTCGACTGCTTGAACCTCCAGCCTGTTGATGGAAAGACACTGAATGAAGAGGAAGAAAATGAGAAAATGATTCTGGGTCAAAGAATTCCAGAGTTAGATCCAGTTTGCAGCTATCAGGCCTGGCAACTAGCCACTAAAGGAAGGGTTGTGGAGCCAGTGGAGCCTAGTTACAAGGGCTCCAATGGCGGAGGAAGTATGGGGGAGGAGGCCCTGGCTGGAGCCGCCGTGGTTTTTGAGAAAGAGAGCAGCCGTTACGTCCTGCAAGGTCAGGAGAAACGTAGCTCGGGCAGACGCAGCAGCTCTGGGTTGGGCAGCCACACCTCGTCAGGGGATCGGACACCAGAGAGCCTCAGCGACTCGGAGTACCGCCCTTCATCTCGCCAGGACAGACGGCGACCATCCCAATCTCAAGCTTCCAGCAAGTCCAACGAGTGCTTCGAGTGCGGGAAGGTGTTTCGCAGTCGTCACCAGATGATCGTCCACCAGCGGGTACACAGGAAGGATGGAGGCCGGGCGTCTGTGGGTGACAAGGAAAGAGCAGCAAGAGATGACCGATGGGGTTCCACCAGCGATCCAGAGTCAGGCTCCCCCAGCCGGCCCAGCACCCCAGGATATGGAGACTCTCCACCAGCCTCCACCCTTGGAGACCAGGCCTCAGAGATGAGTTCTTCAAACTCTGGGGAGCCTGCAGGTTCGTCTAAAACTTCTGGCATTTCTATAGTTTTTACCTTATAAAAGGTTTTATCTCTCTTCTACTTATACTTAAAGGAACAATGTATAGGAAATGAAAAAGTAAGGGTTTGGGAAATGTTTGGCAGTTTCTTTCATTCAGTCAAACATATAGTATTTAAATGATCATGGTTTCCAAAATGATAAAGGTTTAGTTGAATACAAACAGTTAGATGATGTAAATCTAAGGAAGGCTTTGTGGCAGTTTCAGCCACTGATGTCACCATCGTTACTGCATATAGTCAATATTCTGTTTGTCTTTAAAGGAAATTTTTTAGCATGAAACAGTAGGGAAAAAAATCCCCTGTAAAAACATGTTCTTGAAGTCTGTCACTCTATAGTAAACATCTGTTGATGAAGGTGCAGCTCCTCAGCTCATCGTTCTCTATGGAGTGGGAACTGGAGCCCCCATGTGGCACAATGTCAAAACGACATGTTTTCAGCAGCACTCTATAAAAGCACACAAATACCATCAAATATGGTCAATAAACTTTAATTGCCACTGGGAAATCTGTTTACAGCAGTACTATTATTATGTATCACAGAGCAATGAAGTTAACAGTTAAATGAAACTTTGTGCCTTTCAGTGGCATGTCAGCAGAGCAGAGGGCATTTTTGGAATGCCTATCATTTTTTCACCTCCACAACCAATAAACACTGCAGAGCAAAAAAAAGAAAACCTACCCATGCAAGGGCAAAACACCCATAAACATGAGTGAAATATTCTAAAGGAAGGAGTCCTGTGTTTGCAGCACTTGAGAGCTCTCTGGCTTTTGTCTTTCACCTTTCAAACTCGCTGAAAACAATATTTGTACTGCTTTGAATAGTGGATAGCAAAGAATCGTAGAGATTGTTTCCATTCTTCCCTGTTAGTACAGAGATTCAAAAATAGCAGTAACATTTCTTCAGGCTTGATCGAGCTGTGTGCTATTTCAGGTCTTCCTGTCTCAGGAAACTCCCCTCACTCCCCCTTATCTGTGTGTGAATATGTTTTTTTGTCCTCTGTTTTATGTCTCAGCCATGAAAATATGTTTGTATGTTTCCACTAGCGTCACTTATTGTAGAACAACCAATTATTAGCGTGAGTGGAAACATCAAAGGACAGTCTGGCACCGCAGCAGTTAAAGGCACAGTTAGCTTCTTTTATAGTCGTAAATGTACTGTAGAGAATTCATTCGCTCCAAACCATGGACATCCTGGTTTCTGGTTTCAGGAATTGCATTTTGCTTACAAGATCTTTTTTGCTTGCAACATATACACTGTATACTGTATACAAATGCATGTGCAGGATGTAATAGAAATACTCAATCTTATTCAGTCTGTTGACACATTTTAGATATTTAATACAATGTAATAATTAGAATAGCAAAACCGATTCATGTAAAAATTAAGACGAATTCAGTGTTTACCAAAATATTATTTTTGTCAAGATCTGAAGCCTACTATCCATCCATCTATCTTTTTCCTGGTTGCCTTTCTTCCCTGTCCCCCACGGACTCTTTGCTAATCTCTAAGGTTACCTCCTGTGACACTTCCACTGTCACTCTACCACTCTTCTTACCATTGAGCCAGCCAGGCTGCCTGATGTCTGAGGGATTGGTTATTTATAGTGTCACCTCCCAGTGGAGGGGGAATGCAGGCAGTGGGAAAAGAGACACTCAGAGGACACTCCCAAATGATGTCCCGTACAGCCATTTAGCTATTTTTGGGGATGCAAATTATTTAAATGGGTTCTGATATGAGTTTCTAAGATACATATGTTGATTACTCCAACCTTTACAAGACAAGTGTAAGTGCAGTCACCACAGTAGCTTACTTTGTCTTAATGTCCCCACTCCTTCACTTTTGTTGGACACAGCTTGTCATAGTGAGTTTGCATTTTTTATTTTATTTTTTTTGGTTTCCCTACACATGTGCACATGTGGGACTGAAACTATGCCGCTGATTCAAAATTACACTAATGCTTACTTTGGCGGGACAATAAAAAATATTTAGGATGTTAAACTATTGACAATCAGAACAGTTATTTAATGTCACTGACTGTGACTGGTCGGTTAATGAAATTAGAAAGTATTGCACTGATAACCAGAACACATCAGTCTTACCACCTTGCTTGCTAAACTGCCCAGCTCTGGGGTTTCACCTTGGCAGAGTCTGAGCTGTGAGTGTTGGCCAGTGATGCCAACAGGAAGCCAAATAAAAAACAGATGGCAGGCTACTGGTGAAAAAGAGGAGGGGTAGTGGAGAGTACAATAATATGCTACTTACAGTACCAGAAGTGTTGCATCATACGCTTCATATGTGTGTATGCAAGAGATGACATAATCCTGCGTGACACAGTCTGATTTGTATACAATGTAAGGATTGTCACCCTTTTTCCTGTTAATAACGCTTGCATTCAAAGATTATAATACCACCAAAATTTAAACTTTTATTCTTATTCTCATGATTTCTACTGGATGTTCTATATTTACAGTGACAACAGCAAGATTCTTTGCAAATACAGGTCATATACGCCACCTTGTGGCGAATATAAAATGTAGCACCTCAGTGACAAACAATATTGGCTCAATACAAATAACGTGTGTGCAATCCCATGCAGTTCCAGTTCAAAAATCTTAGAATAAACAAACAGCTACATAAATTTAAATGTGTCAACAAGGCATTTATGCAATACTTTGATACTACTAGATATTATGGTATATTTTTTCCACATCATATGGACCATAGTACAACTCAAACATTACCATGGATAAAATAAAAACCTCTCTGACAAACCCTTGAACTTGTGTATACAGTAACCTTCACAGAAATGCTTTCAAATACATGGTCATTGTATGTTGTTAAACAAATATCAGCTCCTTAATCATGCTATTATAAAGCAATTGTTTTATTTTAGGTTTGTTTGTAGAATGGCAGAAGCAGTCATTTTATTTTAGGGTATGTTCTCATGTAAGATAAAACAAGAGCATATAGGAATGCTGACCAATACTGCAGCCTGGTGGCCATTCACCAAAGTTACATCAGGATGAAACATTAATCTGGCAAAGGGAACTCAATTAATGAGCTCTGAGTTAGTTGTTAGAGGAGAGTTTAAACAAGATGCTTTAATGGACCACTGAGTCATTGACCTTTATTTTGTCATTCTTTTTCCCTACAGATGAGAAACCCTACATCTGCAGCCTATGTGACTTTGTCACCACAGAGTCACAGACCTATTTGACTCATGTTCATGTCCATCACTCGGCTGCCTCCAAAGATAGACCCAGCCCCATCCCCAGCCCCAGCTCCAGCTTGGACAGAAGCATCCCCAGTGGTTATCCCAAACTGAAGAAAGCTCTTCTTCAAGGCCTGAACAACTCTGCATCCCCTCCTGCTTACCTTTCAGCCCGATCCTCTGCACTCGATCCCAGCATGACCCCTGTGGATCTCTGTGTCAGGGCTGAGGGTATCAGGGGCATAGCTTCCTCAGCCTTGGACAGAAAAAACCTCCCAAGCCACAAGTGCTCCTTCTGCTCTCACTCCACCCGCTACCCCGAGGTGCTCTGGATGCACCAGACTGTGGCTCACCGCATCAACAGCAGTAGCTCCAATCTGGCTCCTAAATGGGCTCTTAAAAACAACTCAAAGGGCTCCAGGGACAGCTTGTTATCCTCCAGGAGACGAACTGGACCTCCGCCAGTCCTGGAAGGGAAGGAGTGTCAACCGCTGCCTCCACTGATGCGCACCCAGCGTACACGGCCTCCAGCCTGCTCCACTGAGGTTCTAAAGAAGAGCAGGCCAGCCAGTCATGCAGCCACACCATCATCATCCTCTACGCCCTGCTCCTCGTCCTCTAGGGGCTCCTCCTCCACCTCAGGCAACCAAGCTGGGAGAGTCCCTGTACGGCCAGGCAGCAGCACCAGCAGCAGCAGCAGCATCAGACATGCGGAGGACCAGAGTCATCAGTCTCGGTTCAGACCCAAAGTGGATATGTACCCACGAGGAAGCTCGCTGTCATCTTCTAGCTCCATGGAGAAGAACACTGGCACCCTCTCACGTTCCTCAGCCCCCAGCCCCAGCTCTGCTACAGCTTCCAGGATGGCCGACCGCTACTTGATGCCTCAAGAGGGTCTGGGCTTCATGCTTTCCAGCAAACACGGCCTAGCAGAGTATAGCCGAGCTAGGGGCTCCCCTCACCAACCGCTTCCCAACTCCCACAGCCAGGTTCGAGCGAACACTATGAGGCCCAGCGCTATCACCCATAGCTCAGCAGCAATGCACAACCATGGCGCCTCCCAAGCACAGGGAGGCACTCTGCAGAGCTCCTCCACCCCCTCTTCCTCCTCCTCTTCCTCCTCCTCTTCATTACCGTCAGAAGTTCGTGGAGATGTGAAACACGAGCCAATCGCAGAAGCACCAGAGATGCCAACTGACATCCTCACCTTCCTCAAAAACTACAGCCCACATGAACTGGCTGCCCTCTACCACCGCTGGGGTGCAGCCAATGCCCTGTTGGATCCCACCGGTAGGGAACGATTTTTGTTCAGTTTTTTTGGCTGATTTACTCGTGTATTTGTCAAAATTAGTAATAACACAATTCAAAATAGAGTTTTGGGTTCTTTATAATACCAGAAATTGGAAAAAGCTAGATTGGAGTAAATCCCTCATCATTAGCTCACATACAAAATGCCCAAAGGACCTTGGCTTTGGAGAAAATGCCAGATGTCAAGAGTTGTAGTGAGATGTTTTCCAGTGACTGAGCAACTTGGTTTTAAGCTGTTCTGATTATATTTGACAGCTTAAGGAAGAAAGAGACACCAGCAGTCACATAGATCCACACGTAATGTATGAACCATATTGAGCAGGCATACGTGTTGCCCTCTCTCACAAACTAACTCACCATCTGGTAGGAAGTGATGGGCAGAGACATATAGTGCTCCATTCTGATGAGATTTTTAATAATGAAGAAGAGAAACATCAAATGAGCACACACGCGCAAGTTTGCATGTTTGCGAGGTATCATAAAAGGCTGTATCTGGGGCAGCACGCGTGTCCATATGTGCTCGGGTTTTTAGATGCAAAAGGAGTAGGTCGCGTTATTATTATTATTATTACTATTATTATTATATATATATTTTTATACCGTGAAAGACGTGAGAGAACCTTTGCTACTCTCAGGTCTGCGAGGCATGCCTAGTCTCTAGCTCCACTCTCCCAGAAAGCTGTCACAAACTGTTTAGGTCACGGCTCTGCCTGACGAGAGGCTCGCACAGATGCGAATGGGGGGAGGCAAAACAGAGAGAGAGGAGGCAAAGAGAGAGAGATGAGACAGAATAATTACCCCACCAGCTGCTTTGGAAATGGTCATTACCGAACATCCGTATTATTTGCCCATTTTCAGTTGTGTCTCTGGGGTCAAGTGGGGTTGTGTGGAGCCACGGGTCAAAGACAACAGCCCCAGAGCAGACGCATGACATCGCTGTCACCCGTCCAGGCGCATATCGTCACGATCTGCCTTAGCCCTTTGAGTCACATGCTATAAAGTGACCTTTTTTGAGCAACTGAGTCTTTCTCCCGTTTCCCTCTGTAATATATGTGCGAGTGTGTGCGCGTCTGCTTGTGTTTTCCGTCCAGCTCTGTCTTGTCTTTCATTAGTGCATCAGTGAGAAGGGCTGGCGGCCCAGAGTAGAAGTAGAGTATCCAGAGGCCAGCAGTCGGGCTGCCAGAGACACTCTCTGTCACCTCCTCCGCCTCCCCGTCTTCCTTGTCCCTGCTGCGTCCCCCCTCCTCCTCCTCCTCTATCCCCATCCCTCATGCATACACAAACATACACATACAACTAGTGGGCACTTCCCAGGTATATGCCATCCCTTACGCTTAGGGTGTTCATGTGTCTGCTGGGGGTTTATGCAGTAAGCAACCCCCTCCTCTCCCCGAAAACCCCCAGGCCTGTTATCTGTCAGAAAGAGAGGTCAGAGTAGCGCATGTGTCTGTGTGCATGAGCGAGTGCGCCTATAATGGTCAGAATGTCATTAAATAGATCCGACCATCTTTAAACGGCTCGTCCTCATGCCGTTCATGTCAGCAGCATTCACATGCAATCTGGAAAAAGATTGCAATCTAGCATGAGTGACATGTCTTTATTGCATAGTTATCTAAATTACATAGAGCATACCAGTTTCCTTCATCATGCAACAACAGGTTTCTTTATGCTAAATACCTGCTCTTTTAAACCAATCAGTATGCATTCCATCTGCTTTACCAAACACAATTGGGCTTCTTGTCCCTTAACAATTAATTTCCTGGTGGCATTTTTCTTATACCGCCTCATTATAGTTTCAGAGCTTTCACTAGGTGTGCTTGACGGTGCCAGCGTTTCTTTTTGGTTTTTAAGATCGATCCGAAAGTAAAAATCCATATGCTTTCAAAGCATTCCTTAAGGTTGTCTGCTTAATTTTGTTCACCTGCAAGTTTTGCAGCCTAACAACATGGACATAATAGCTTTGGGACAATACATGTAAATCAGACTTTTATGTAAAATCAGTTTTTCTGAGGCGGAGTCACTTTAGTTAGATATCTCAAAATTCAAGGTACTTTAGCTTCATCATGTTGGCCTAAATTCAGTTGTCATGAGAAATAATTACATGCTTTCCTGCAAGAAATTTGGGCCTATCCCCTTCATCACCTCTCTTAATAAAACAGTCTTGATTTAGCATGTAGCCACGTCATGTCACAGGCTACGTCAGGACTTATGAGCTTCAAGCGCATCAGAATTCAACAAGTTACTTCTTTTTGCTGTTTGGGGCCATTAACATGTAAAGGTGATCGGCGCATGTAATGTCAGTGTTGTTGCATTATTGTGTGTATGTGTGTGTAGAAGTAGCCAGTGTGCGCCTCACTTTCCTCCCTTGGACCGAACACACACATACACAACTCCTGAAACGCATGCCGACACACACACCTGACATGTGACACACGGGCAGCGGAGCGGGCACATCACAGCCGGGGCGTTTTAATTGCCTGTAATTTATGCGGTGTGTGTGTGCTGTGTGTGTCTGGCTGTCAGCCTCTGAGATGATGCTGTGTGACAGCTGCAGTCCAGCCCCTGGAGCTAGCCGCTCATAATGACACATTAGACATACTAATGATGCCTGCGCGAGTCCACTACTGATGCTACCTACCTCCACCACTCCAGCCAGGCTCTGCGCTTACGTACACCCACTCATTCTCTGCCCATTACTGACCTTTACACCTTCGCTCAATCCCTGCAAACACTGAAAATGTCTTCTTACTTGGAATAATATGATACTGAGCTTCACCTTTTTGATTACTCTTTGCAGAAAAAGTGTGACATCTCTTCAAAGCGCGTGTCATTTTCAGATACTCTGGCCTTGTGTGTGAACATGTGTTGTTTTCAAACCTGTTCATATAGCTGTGAGGAGCACAAACCATCTGATGAAGCATTTAGCATTATCTCCTGAGTTAAAAATATGTAGATTCATAAGGGCATACTATTATTTCTTTATAGATAAATTGATGTAAAATGCATGTTTAAATCTAGAAGGGTTAAAATGTATATCGTTTAAATACAGACCTGTTGATTTAAACAAAATAAGAGTTCATTGCATATGTTTAATTTACATCTTACCCCTCGGCTGAACCTGTATTGTTCTGTAGATATTGTACTTTGTTTAACCGTGTGTTTCTGTTTTGTGTGTTTGTGCCGATCAGGGATGCTGAGGTCTCTCATGCGGCAGGGACAGTATTTCTGTCATGAGTGTGGGAAGAGTTTCAGTCAGCCCAGCCACCTGCGCACTCATATGAGGTCCCACACAGGTAAAACGCAGCCATTATACTTTGACACACAAGCACACTAGAAGGAATACAAAATGCACATTTACACATATTTCCGCTGGCTCAACCAAAACAATTTAAAAGCCTCACGAAGAAGTGAGATGTTAACCCCCAAAACTGGCTTTACCTCCTCGTTTCTTTATGGCATCTCACAGCCCCCGCTGCTCTTAGTGTAAAACAATAAAAATAATTTAACAGTTAAGCATGTGTACCCTTTAAATAGCCATCATTTCTTTTCTTCTGGTATTATCAAACACAACATTTAGAAAACCGTTGTGCATTTGATTAATGTGAAAAAATAAAATGACTATACCGCATTACTATTACACCAAACTAAGGAGTCATGTCACATTTTATGTCACATGGGCTTTGTATGATTAAATCTCATGTAGAGTTAAGTATATAGAATATCATTACAGCTTAAGCAATGTGTCATGTTCCTTACAGGAAATGTATTAAATATATGTTTAATAGTATGTATTTGCATGCATGCCGGTGCCATCCTATGATCAATTTTCTATCAAATTAGGAAAATTTATGAGGTGTCAAGCTAATAAAATATATTGAACACACATTAAACCACACATACTTTTGAGATATTTAAGCGAATCGTTGCTCTCCAAGACTTTAAAATAGGCATCAGGGTACAAAGTTCAGGGAGAAAGTTCTGCCGTCTGACTTTCCAAAGTTAAACACAGCAAGTAAAAGATTTTTTTTTACGGGATAAAGTATTTGTTATGAGTCACAGAAACGATTAAATTGTCAAAAAGGAAAAGATATGGCAAACAGCCTGAGTAAAGAGGAACAGCAGTAAGCTCGAGAAGTCCAGCTAAGTCCTGCTTTAACCTGTAAAACCTCATTAGCTACATGTTATTCATGTATTCTTATATGTTCCCAATTTGTTTTTGTTTTTTTTGTCCACTTCTTCACCAGTCACTCATTCCCGTACCACCTGTGCACACACACATCACCACCCTCACAGCTCCATCCACCCCGAAACACTGGCATGAGATATAGAGAATATATGCATGGGGATTCACATTCTCAACAATATTTCATCGTCTGACTCTCCGTACGTCCGCTACATCTCTGCCTCCTACAAAATAAATCAAAACAGATCTTTTTTGTTCAGTTGAGTGTGACAGCCGGTCTGTGAGTCCTTCCCCGCCCTGGGCTGGGCAGCTGTCTCTATTTTTTAAACTGAAACATGATTTGCTCCGGATACTGACCTGTGACAAATTGTATACATTATTAATCACATGTCAATTAGAGAGATGGAATTGTGCATTCTAATGAAGCAGAACAGCATTTGTCCACGCCAACCTTACGAATCCATTTGCATGCATCCCGGTGCCATTCACTAAACAGCTTGATTTAGACATCCTGGCTTTTCCTCCACTTTCTCATTTTATCTCTACTTTTCATTTTCTCTGTCTCCTTTCCTTACCCGTTTCCTCTCATTCCTTTCCTGCGGTCTTTTTTCTCATCTCACAATCTCCAATCCTTCTTTGTCTTCATTTCTTCTCACCTCTCCCTCTTTCTTTTCCTTGCTTCCTCCATGTTTCCTTTCTCCTTCACTTCTTCTTTTCCTCTACTCTTTGTCTTCCCCTCTCCTACTTTCCTTTCTTTTACTCCCACTAGTTTTTTTTGTCCTCTTCCTCTTTTCTGTCTGGTGTCCAACCTCCTCCATTCTTCTTTTGTTTCCTTTTCAATCTATTTTTCCTCCTCCTCTTCATTTTCCTCTCATCTTCACCTTCTCTCCTCCTTTTCTGATTCCTTCCATTCTCCCTTTGTTCTTTTTCCTTTCCTCTTCTCTCCTCTCTTTAGCTGCCTGCTTTTCTCCCTCCTCCTCCTCCTCCTCCTCCTCCTCCTCGTCTCCTTTCCTCTCCTGTCCTGTCATGTCCATCAGCCGGGCCGGCGGTGATCACAGTAGACAGTGGGATAAGTAGCTTCTTTATAGAGAGTGTGAATGATATGTGGCACAGCCAGTGATTCTAAGTGACAGAGGCCAAATGGTAAGTGATGCAGTCCTCAGCTTCCCCTCCCTCCCCCCCTCCTCTCTAAACCCTATTGTAAACACACACACACTGCATTAACACACAAACACACACATGCTCGTGCATAGGCTCTGTAAACACTCACAGAGGCTGTAAATAATGTTGTCACCGACAGTTGTCTTCAGCGCGGACGTGCACATGCAGAAAAGGCCAGCCACCCCGAGGCCTCTATTAACATGCGTCATATTAAATCACTGACTCGCCTCCACCAGGTTCCATCACCATCATCACCACCATCATCAGCATCATCATCACTGCCAGCTTCCCTCAATTAACAAGGGTGCTGGTGGCAAATGCTATTGTGTGCGGGTGGTGGTGGAAGGAATTAAAAAAAAAAAGAAGTAAAATGCTTGTGTGGATCTGGTAGAGCGTTTAACCAAATGCCCTCCTCCCCTTCCTCCCCTTCCTCCTCCTCCCTTTCCTCCCCCCCATCCAATCCTCCTTCTCCCCCCACAGTTGGGTTTGATTTTAACGGACTCCACAGAGGTACTGACGCTCACACCACCGCTTCTGAAGCTCCCAAACAAGTATGTGGCACAATGGCTAATCACTGGGCTCCCTCATCGCTTCTGCATGTTCCCTTATTATTATTGTCTCACCTCCGCATGTGTGTGTGTGTCTGTGTCAATCCTGCAGCCTTCCATTCTGTATGAGTTGTTTTTTTTCTTTTTTTTTTCTTTTTTTTTTCTTTGTTCATGTGTTACAGTCACATGTGGCACCCTCTGCACCTGGCATTAACACCTGGCATTCTCACATGCTGCTGGATCACACCTGACATTGGCGTGTGTATCCAGCATACATTTCACATTGGTCTCATTGAAAACCTTAAAAGCATGGAAAGTTTATTTTCTCGTCTGAGAAAAACTAACATTGGTTAAAGTTGCACATTGCTTTTTGTCCTTCCTTGGTTGTTACTCTTTGGCTCTAACACTGACTTTAGGAAAATCAGATTTTCGTAGTCTTGCCAAATTGATTCCAGTTTTTGTGTAATTTACAGTTTTAGATGGATATAATTGAATCTGTATCTGTGTCCAAATACTGAGTGGTTTTTGTGTTAATGGTTCCTTTCTGTTACAAATTGATGTAACAGAAATTCAACCCATAGCCCATTCATTAAACTTTATAAAGCCAACTTATTAAAGATGTTTAAAATATCAGTTAATCAACCAGTTTACTGACAGCTAAACAGATGGAATTTAATTCTGGTTTACTGTGTAGCAGCACAGTTCCATCAACACGTTGCACATGCAAGAATGACAAAAGCCCGTCAGATATACAACACAAAAATCCCAAAGACACACAGCATGTCAGTTACATACATATACACTAGTTGGAGTTTGTCAAGATTTACTTTTTTAAAGAAATATAAAACTGTATATAAAAGAGCAGAGAAAGTTTGAAAGCATATAGTTTGGTTTTTGCCTGCTAAGAGTTGAGCTGACCGTTGAACTCAAGGACATTATGCTCAGCTATTTTCCTCTAAATGGGTCCATAATTTACAAAATGAACATCATGCTGTATTTAAAAAGTCCTGAAACTAACAATTGAAACCATAAATTCATTAGGGAAATGTTTGCTGCAGTAATAAATCATGGAAGAAGTAGCTTCATTTTCGCATAGACTTCTTTACAATCTGGCTTATTTTAGCAACTAAAGTAGTCACCCCCTGCTGGCTGTTAGAAAGAGTACAGATTTAAGTGGTAAAAATACTCCAGTTCCTTGACTCAAACTGATATGTTTCCTGTTTCCAGCTTATTTGAAATTTCCATTAAAGCTCAACATAGTTAATTCATTAGTAATGATCCTACATGCAGACATTTGCAAGCTGCCACAAAAACGTTTAATATTCAGTTAATAACAATAACACTGTCTTGCTGCTTTGCTGCACTGTAACCCAAGTTTTCTGTTTTTCAGTTTGGATGTGTTTGCATTTGATATGTGGTCTTCAATCTGTTTCAACTTGAGATGTCTGCATGCAAGGCCTAACACATACAGGACCTCCATTTAGCACAAGCCAAACTACATCAGTATAAATTTTAGATTTCATCAACTCATATCAGGAGACTAGAGATAGCAGGTTTCCAAACTGTTGTTGGTCAGACTAAATAAGACATTTGATTTTCTTTTTAGACATTTCGGTGGCCATTTTTCTATTTTATGACATTTTGAAATTGATTGTTTTTTTTAGTTGAAGTTTTTTGTTGTTGTTGTTACTGAGACGATGCAGTTTGACATAGTTCCAACAGAGCATGTAACTGTCGCAGAGGTTGTAGCTGATGCTTGTTCCTAGATTAACTTTTACATGCACAGCTTAACTACAATATACAGCTTTTCATTCTCATAAAACCACACTACAGTCTAGAAAAAGAATGATCAGATAATAAGTGCCATTTTTTTCTTCATGGATGCATTGACATCCACTAAAATAACCAGGTAACAGTTGGATTTCTCCCTGTTACCTTACCTGGAGATTAGAGAAACCTCATTTTCCCAAGATTTCTTATAGGAAACACCACATTTTTTTGTGCCAAGTATAGGTGTAAAGAGATTTCTAATCTGCTTTTTGCATGTGCGCAAGAGCAAAGAGACGTTTCTAGGTGTGCAGGTGCATGGAGGAGTCCAGGAATTTGTTACCGGTCAAAACAGAATGACGATAATCAACATGGCAAGAAGCAGCAACAACCAACAGCAAGCAATGTTGGAGTGACAACATGTTGATTATCAAAAATGTCAATTTTCAGTGATATAGCAGGGATATATTTAGCTTTTTGAGTTTTGAGAGTATTGCAGCGCATGTAAACACACTCAGTAACAAAGAGCGATGAGAACTACATGAAAACAGGACTCAGGAACAAACTTAACAAATCGCAGTAACATCGCACTTAGTTCCTTGAACGTGTTTTTAGAGTTTTTAGAGTCAGTCACCAAGACAAGGATTGAGAGCGGAGGGAACCGAGAACTAAATCTGCTCCGCTTTGACATTCGGAGAGAGCCGGGTTCCACACGCTGTGCCTCCATCTTAATTAATCACACACGTCACACACATACCCACATGGACTCAGATTTACCGCACGCTATGAATGATGGGAGCAGGCGCGGCAGAGGGGTCCAATTAGATGTAGTGTTGACGCTGCTTTACGGTGACGATAACCTTTAGTATAATGTAGTGCACCGGTCCCGTCAGCGATGCTTCCTCGCAGGACGATGTCGTGGAGGTTCTCGCTTTCCTCTCACGTCTCACCCTTGCCATCTTTCCAGCATTTTTTTCTTTTCTTTTTTTTTTTTTGATGATTTTTTTTTGTGATTAATTATACCTTTTTTTTTGTTGTTGTTTTTATCTCTCTTTCTTTCCCACCCACCCCCTCTCTATTTCTTTTCTCTCTGTTGATGATGTATGATAACAGCTATATTTCCCTGTTTCTTCTTCTGGGAGAAGGGTGCGGGGAGGGGCACGGGGAGTCATTTGTTTTCCTACTTTGATATTCTTCCATTTATCAAAATGATAATTAGGTGCAATTAAATGGCACTCTCATTTGTTTTGTTCAGGTGTGTGTTGCTTATTTTTTATTATTATTTTATTTTTTTCCAAAGGTGTCTGTGCCATTGTAGGTCAGTCTAATTAAAAGAGAGTGTAGGGTGTGCATTTGAGTGTGTTTGTGGAGGGGCCATAGGGTAACCCAGGTGATTGAGACAAATACATGGAGACAAAAAGTAGGACTTTACAGACAGGGGATGTGTGGCGCTCTTCTCCAGATGGCAGGAAAGAGGGAGGAAGAGTTATTCCATCTGGGTCAGGATAGAGAACTTTTTTTTTTTTTTTGCATGAAATTAGGTGTAGAAAATTAAATGTGAATGCTTCATTTGACCTGCATAATGTTTTCCGACTTCTAGCCATCGTGTGTCTTGGTTTATGTCTGTGTTTGCTTGTTTCTTCCTCCTTTTTTTTTTTTTTGCACCATTTCCACTGCAGCAAGTCTCATCTGTGGTTTACATCAATGTGCCCTGTTAAATCCCTCGTTTATTCAAAATCGCTTGTCCATTCAACATCCTGTGTAAGACCTCGCCTCGGGGCCTCTACCTGACCTTTCAACTTTATGTGTGTGTTCCTCAGGGGAGAGGCCATTCTGCTGCCAGCTCTGCCCATACCGAGCCTCTCAGAAAGGGAACCTAAAGACGCACGTCCAGAGCGTCCACCATATGCCTTTTGACAACAGCCAGTACCCAGACACGAGGAGCTCGTTACTGAGCCAGGAGGAGCGAGGAGCTCTGGCTGCCAAACACCCACCAAACTCACAACAGTAGACCTTCTGACTGATCGACCACGACCTGGACCCAAGGACCAGCCTAGTCAGGGAATCACACAACAACAACCCCCCCTCCTCACAATTCATGAAAATCTGGAAGTAGGACCCGAGACTCTTGATTGACCTTTGGAGCTTCTCCTCTCCACCCAACATCCTTTAATGATCTTTAAAGAATTTTCTACAATGAAGGTTCTTGTAGTTTTTGAAACTTTTTTTTTTTTTTAAATCTTAAAGAGGCTTATTACAGCTGTGCTAGGAAATTTTAAAATCACAAAGAGGGGCTGCAGCGGGAAAGAGTGTCTTTTCGCATAATTGAAAGAATTTCTGGAGAAAGTCTGCTTTTAGAAACGGCGTGTGCCAGGTGTGCACACAGGTGGGGAACACTCTCACCACTGAAGAAATGAAATATAATGTCTCCCTAGCAGGAAAGCTGGACTCACCAACGTTCAATCTTTGGCTTCTTTCCACTGAGATGAAGGTTTGCATCACCTGAAAGGATTTCTGAATATAGAAGCCCTACAAAATTCAAAGAGTTACCTCTTGCTGCCATTTTGGAGGTACCAACAAGTAAAGCTGCCTCGCGCAGATTTACAGGAAAAGCAGAGTTTCCGAACTCGAAATGCAACTGCTCGCATTTTAATCAAGGACTGTGGAATTGCATGGCTGCTGTAGTTGCCCCCTCAACACTTTTTCTTTTTAGCTTTATTGTATGTGAGAGTTTGTGCATTCCTCAGGACACCAATCATCAACCCGCAGCAAGAGAAGATGCTCTGCAATTCATCAGCAGACGACTGGCACATTGCAAGCTAGTCTCCTCTGGGTTTCTGAGTCAGAAGATGAAAACCTGCATCTTTCTGTCCGTCTGTGTGTGCGCGCGCGTGTGTGTGTGCGTGCTCAAGTTAAACTCACTTCCCTTCACTCCACAGTGTAACGGTGGGAGTGCAGTGACCACTCGGAGGCTGTGTAGCTGATGATTAGAAGGAGAGAGAAAGATGGAGAGAGGTGGGAATAGGAAGGGAGGGAGAGAGAGAGAGAGAGAGAGAACGCTAATGGGGGTGTCTGCTTTAGTGCTCATTAAAAAAAAGCGTGCGTTTTTAATAGCCAATATAAATGAGCGTCCCGTTTTTATGGCCATTCAATTATTGTCCATTTAAGAGGAAGGGACTGAGTGGAGTTTTCCTTCATAACTTGTTCATATTAGAGTGTTTCCGACTCCGACAATTCTGACTTAATATTAGACTCCACAACAGTGGGAGTGGCAGGAAGATGTTGACTCTAGATTGCACAGATTATGCTTCAGCTTGTGTGCTTGCTAAGACGAACACGGTACTTCTCATGTTAGGCAAAAAAAAAAGAAAAGCATCTCGATATTTGCCATCAACTGTTTAGCCTGTCGACTTTCTTAAAAGCTATGTGAATAAATTTGATGAAAATTAGCGAATGCCGAGTTCAGACTACACAATATTTTCTCTGATGATGTCTCAGATTTGTTGACTTTAAAATCATGACATCTTGCCATGACTTTGCCGTGACACATGACATCATCAGGAACGCCATCAATCGGAAACAAGAACGTCAGCAGTGGTGTGAATGATATTGGCTGCTTTGTTCACATAAGAAGAATTAAAAAAGGAAAGAAAAGAACAATTTGTAGATCACACCAGATGAAAAATTTAGGTTGTCTATCCTTTTGTCTGTTTTCCATGTTGTGTGTGGAAGATCTCATTGGGCTCTTTTTGTTCAATACGATGGACATGTTGTGGAGGTCGTCCCAGAACAGCACAGGAGGTCAACTCCTGTCAAATTATTTGTTGGGACATTATGAAGCGTCCTAGATGCTTAATGCAAAAATGGTCAACTATCATATACTGCACCGGAACTGTTGTCATTTGGTATTTTTTCATCTGATATTGTCTAGTCTGAACCCAGCATTAGCCGTCTTGGTAGAAAGCCTGCTAGCAGCACATGATACCGTAACGTGGTGTTTCCTAATCAAGGAATCACATTACTGGGGTGGGAGAGATTCAAAAACTTACTTTGTCTCGACTTTTTTTTATTTCAAAAACATTCCTTTTCTTCTTGTAAAATAGTTGAAAGGTTCTAAAACTTATTCAAATGGAATAAAATCAGAGCCAATTTGCTGTTTCTCTTTGTGCTACGCTAATTTAGCCACCTGGATGAACCTAATGGGCAGACATCACAGTGATGTTCTCATCTGACTCTTGGCAACAAAGTGTGTGAGTGCATTTTCTCCCACAATGTTAAACTGTTGCTTTAACGCGGGCTGGTTTGTTTAGCACATAAAATGGGCACATGAGTGAACATATCCACCGTATATTAGCATGCTTATTGGACATGCAACAAGCGACGCGATAAGCAGCGACGCAGAGCTGATTTTGTTGCCAGAACATTTAAGCAGTCTAATGAGCCAATCTCCCGTGCTGTCAGTCTAATTCCTTGAACGGTGATGTGAAGATTTACATTCTGGGGGGGGACAGAGCGAGGAGGTGAGAGAGAGCAGCCAGAGGTCAGGAGGTCAGGCTTCCAGAGAGTTCAGGGATAAATACACAAGGTAGAGACATTTTGAAGCCTATTGAATTGTAGAGCTGTCACAGCCTTAACACAAGTGTGTGCGAGTGTACATTTATGTGTGTTTGCGCATTCTCTTCAAACCTCTGTATACTGTGGAAGAAGTTGACCCAATATCTGCGTACTCCAGCCTCTGTCTAGATGCTTAGCCTACCTCCTTTGCAATGGAAGCCTGTTAAAGTTCAAACATGAAGCAGGACTATTTGTTTTTTCACCCCTAAATGGTCCCCAAGAAAAAGCTGAACCGTGCTTCAACATGTCGGGGAAAAGAAGAAACAATGCAAAGCAGCTCAAAAGCTTCTAGAGCAAGACTGAAACTGTCAGTTTCTTAGATTCAAAATTCGCACCAGTTAACGACAACCGATCATACAGAGTACTGTACTTCCCATCTATTTTAAAACCTCAGTAGTTTTTACACAAACACAGCGATGAAATGGTTGCTTTACCAGTTGGTTGTTTAGTTATGCATACAATGTTGTGTGCTTGAATATGCCTAACGATACACAGACGTGTATATTGAAGGTGTGGGTAGTGAAAATACTTGAAATGGATACTCTAGCCTTTGAGGTAGTGTAGTACTAATACCAATGTTGTACAGAATTCCCTTTAAGATTAACTCCTCAGTTATGAATTTGTACTCCGAAGTGTGACTTAGAAAAACTATGAAGCAGGAGTGAGTGTATGTAATATAAAGTGTATATCTGTAATCCACTCTTACCAAACCCTTTATATACAGCAGTAGAAACCAAATGGCATTACTAGTGCACTTAGACTAGGTTAGTGCTTTAACCATTCTCATTTTGTCCATCTCTAGCTAAGGTTTCTTTGAGAATGTCTTTTTATTGGTGCCGGCTAACACACTTCAATGTAATTTCTGGTTTAGAGGCTTTTTTTGTTTGTTTGTTAGAATGATTCCATAGATACGAATGACAGGTTATTTGTTCTGTGGCACAGCTTTTTTAGCTATGTTTCCTCATGGACAGTTTGATAATGCTAGGTGCGCAGTGCTTATTTTTTTCAGAAAGATGTAAGAGTGTGTTTTTAGTCTTTCTCTTTGCTAAACTGTAGGATTTGTTCAGTAGCTAGTCATGGCTGCCCTCCCAGAGGGGCTGGCAGGTGTTGTTCTTCTCTCTTTGGTTGGGTTTTTATCATGCCTCTTAAGTTGTATTATTTGTGTCCGTATTGCTTTTTTTATTTGTTATGAACTTCATGATTAATTTACCTTAGAAGACATTATTATTCCAAATGTATTTGGTTGATATCTGTATTTATTATCACTTCAAAAAGGATAAGAGGACCGAGGCAGACAGGAGTGTTTGTTTTAATTTGATTTTTCTGGGTTGTTTTTGTTTTTATACTGTGTAGTTTTCAAGCCAGCAAGCCGATGTGAAAGCTCTACCTCGTCTGAGCCATTCTCAGTTCTGTTACTTTTGTACATCATTTCAAAAAGATGTAATGTCATGTCCACAATAAAGACACACAAAATGGCACCTGTTGGCGCTTTTTTTTTTCATCTGGTTTCGTTTGTTTGTTTTAAATTTACTGCAGCCGCTGTGACTGAACACGTCCAACTTGAGATGAAAAAGCTTCACAGTTTTTAGACTTTATTTTTTTCTCTTTTGTTCACACTGCTTGTGTGAAATTAACCTAGCGATGCACCGTCTCTATTGACAGGATTAACTAAAAGATAGACAGACTGTCTTTCATTTAGATTTTCAGACAATGGGTGTTGCTGCCGATGACTCAGGAGCTTGCCTTGCTACCTCTGAATGAACTGGTCTTCAAACCTCCTCACAAAAGTTCAACCAGTTGATAAAGGGAGGCAGCACAAACCACCATCATCCAAGATCTGCTGAACCTATAAGACCTGCAGTTACATAAACATACGAGGTGTGTCAGAAAAATTCCAGGACTGATGTCACAACAGATATATTTCAAACCCAAACTACAAACTACGAGTTTTCCCTTTCAGAGTAATCGATCTGGAGTATATAACTGTGATCTCAGCTCTCAGCAGCCATTGAACTTATTTCCACATGCTTTTATATGCATATCCTCTGTTTCATGTCATCAAGCAATGAGCACGGAGCAATGAACAAACCTGAAGTTTGTGATCCGTTTGGGGGAAACTCCGACAGAAGCATTGGGATTGCTGCAGCAAGTGTACGGAGATGAGACGATGTCACGCTCCTGTGTTTTTGAGTGGTGCAAGAGGTTTAAAGAGGGACGCTTGGATGCAAAAGATAACCCCCGGAGCAGAAGGCCTTCAACGAGCAGGACTGAGGCTAACATTGAACGCGTCAGGCAGATGTGTGTGGCGATCGTCAGTTGACTGCTTGACTGATCGCAAATGGGCATGAACCAAAACAATGTCTGGAAGATTATCACTGAAGATTTGGGCATGTGGAAAGTCTGTGCAAAGATGGTGGTGAAACTGCTGAACGATGACAAGAAGGATCGACGCATGTAAGTGTGTCAGAACATCCTTGAACGTCTTGAAACCAAACTTGCTCGGGAGAGTCATCAGTCATGGATGTTTGAGTACAACCCGGAGACCAAACGACAGAGCCTTTAGTGGAAGAGTCCGACATCACCAAGGCCGAAGAAAGCAAGACAGTCGAAGTCCAAAGTCAAAGTCCTGCTGATCGCACTCTTCAATGTGAGGGGCATCCTCCACTGTGACTTCTGGCCTGACGATCAACCAGCACATCTACAAAGAGATCCTGTGGCGTTTGCTTCGTTAAGTGCATGAGAAGAGGCGAGAGTTGTGGCAGGACAAGTTGTGGCTGCTTCACCATGACAACACGTCTGCTCACAATGCCCTAAGCATCCGACAGTTCCTGGCTGAGAAGGAAATTGCTGTGCTGGAGCAACCTCCCTACTCACCCCACCTGGCTTCCTGTGATTTTTTTTCTCTTCCCCAAGCTCAAGGGGGTCATCAAGGAGACTTGTTTTGAAGACATCAAGATGGCTGTGATGATGGAGCTGTGGAGGATCCCGGAAGAATCCTTCCAGGAGTTCATGGCGGCGTGAAGGCAGAGAAGGCTGGGAAAGTGTGTTAGACTCCAGGGGGATTACTTGGAAGGGGAAAACTTGTAGTTTGTAGTTTGGATTTGAAATATATCTTTTGACACCAATCCTGGAACTTTTCTAACACACCTCGTACATAGCAGAGTTGTAACTTACTTGACTGTCTTTCTTTACTTTCCATCCGCCTCCTCTAAAAGCCAACAGTTGTCTGTTAAACTGCAGCACAAAGTGGACATCTTACAGTCGCCTCATTCATCATGTTATAAGGATTGTCATTTGGTTTCACTCAAAGAAATTCTGATGTAACTTTTCCTGGATAGCTTTTTTTTTTAAACCTTGAAATTTGCAGACAACATAATTGGTGTGACTAACATGCCAAGTGTCCAGGATTTCTACTCACATGTCATACTTGGAAGATTTTCTCCTTCTATGTCAGGCCTTACATGTGATCAAATGTGAAACTTCACTTAAAAAAAAAAAACATCTAGTTGAGCGTCAGTCTATTCAAGGCAAATTTCCTGTAACTTGTCCCACACATGCACATACTTCACAAAGCTACTACTGTACTAACCTGCTCCTTGAGTAGAGTCTGGTGTCTCTAATAGTGCCTGCTGGCTCTGATTGAGCTCCGCACATAATCACCATTACCTGCAGAAGAAAGCGAAAGTGGTCATGATTCATGAAGATGAGGTGAAAACAGATCAGACCCGAGTCACACTGCAAGCTGTTCCCTTTCATCGCCTGTGACACGTTTGATGGATCGGGACTTTGATGTTTCGCCCGGGCCCTGTTGCTACCTTGATGTCCGTGTGTGGCCTTGCGGTTGAAGTCGAGCTGCCAAGCAACGGTGATGAGAAACCCACACCCTTCAACTTGGAGGGACCACCTAGGGATTCGTCGCTGCTTTGCCAGTCTCTTTCATGTTCGGTGTCTATGTGCACCATCTGTCTGTCGGTTTGAGTGACGGCTGAGTGACGGGTTCCCTCTGAGAACATGGCACATAATGTTAATGCCAGGCAGGCCCACGGGCTGAGAAAAGACTGCAGCTGCCCGTCACTCTTCCCAACCTCATCAGTCACCGCCAAGGCAGACGTGACAGCCCTGAGCTCCCTGAAAAACCTGTTCGCTGACATCTCTTCTTTCTGTCACACAGCAGAGGGAAGCCGACTGACTGACTGACTGAATGACTGACTGAGGCGGAAAATACGCTGAACGTCAGACTGACTGAGAATTGACGGATAGGTGTGTTGGCGAGCGCGGTATAATGTGCTTTTTTTATTTCACATCTTTACATGTCATAAAAGAGAGGGATTGTTCTCTTTGCTTTTACACAGGTATAGGGGCAGGAGCATCTACACATTATTTATTTATTTTTTTACTTTTCTTAAATACATGTTTACAGTTATCTATGTGGGATTTCATATAGATCTTTGAAACTGTTTTTTGACTGACATTCATGGATATTATGTGTCTGTTTGAATGATTTTGATGGCCTCCTATGGAGCATTAAAGGCATTAGTATGTTTCAAAAGTAATGCTTTTTGGATTGTCTGCGAGTATATTGAAGCACTTCTCCCAATACCTCTCGGATGCTGCATGTCTGACAATTTTTGTTGCTTTACAAACTTGACAATCTGACACGCAGGCCTTGCTTCACACAGAACGGAGGTGAGAAAGTGAGCAGGATTTAAACTTTCTCTCTCTTTACCTCTTTTCCTCACACTAATACTTGTTTTTGTCACATTTCATGCAGTGCAACACCATGAATGACTTCAAGGAGAAAGTGTCCAAAAAACGTGTGCTGTTATCCCCATTTCAACAATTATCACGTCTCGCTACTCTGCAGTTTGGCCTATCAGAGCAGCTATGAATCTGACTTTAGAAATGATTGGATGACACTTCGAGGTAGTTTGTTTCAAGCAAACTCTGAAACTGTTTTCCATGTTTTGGAGAATACGCATTCTCTTGTTTTCATTCATTTTTTTTTCCACTTCTCATATAAGTCCAGTATATACGTGGTCAGCTTAGCATATAAAAACTGGAAAGAGGGAAACAGCAGAGCTGAATCTGTCTGAGAGAAACAAAATCCACATGACAACACCTCCAAAGTCACAGATAATGTGATGAAAATGAAATAGGGGAAATTATAGGCAAAAATGTGTCTTAAAAGAGAGGAGGTACTTGCTGAAGTCTTAAATCATTTTAAGACGTGGGATACCTACCATCGCTGGCTTAGTTCATTTTGGTAAAGTGATGGCACTTTACCATTAATGTTCCTCATGGCTTTATTCAGACAAACCCAAAACAGTGACAGAGAGCACCCTGAAGCATATATGATGTTTGCCTGTTAGAAGAAGAAAACAAAATTAGAATTCCTTAAACTGAAGTAGAATCAACTCATACAACATTTTTTCAAGTATCTACTAGCGTCGCCAACATTGGTAAAAAAAAATGGGCTCGGCTTGCTGTAGATAGTTGTTTGATGAGGACTTAACATTTTTACAGCCTCAACAAATCAAGTATTTTTCACATTATCCAGCACATCCACTGGAGGAAGACATTTCACCATGCTGAGTGTATCTTCCAAAAACTTGCTGAGAACTTGTTCCACAGTTATACTGCTTTTATGCTGTGTAGATTTTAGTGATCATGTATTTTCAGTTTTCCTCTCAATGTCTCTTGTCCTCTCTGCTATGTGTAACCATAAGACTGCAGCTCACTGGAAAAGCCTCAGAATTTAAGTTAAGTTACTGTTGGTCACAGCTGAGACACCCATGGCTTCTCAGTTTGATAAGCACCAATTTCTTTGTGCTTTTGTTACAGGATCTCGTGCAAATGGCTGTTTTTGCCAAATGGCATGTAAAACGAAGAGATTTTAATAAAATATTCCAATTTTAGGATTAGGATTTCCACAGAACCATACGTCACTATGATAAATTTTGTGAATTTGGTGACTTGAAAAATAAAACTTTTCAAACTTGCCGGTGAATTTTGGGGCTCAGATTGATATAGCAGATGATTAACCTTAGAAAAATCAATGTGATCATCTTTTTAGCTTTTTTTTTTTTTTGCAATTTTAAGTAGAATAAAATGAGTTTAATAAAATATCCATATTTCCCGTTTAGTTTGGCGCACCTGCAGCCACGGACTGTGGGAAATTTGAAAATCTGACGATTGTTTTGTTTTAACTGATTCTGACCATGTCAAATAGTATAATTTTGGCATCTTTTTAAAAAAGAAAACATTCCCCCCTAAAACCTGAGGGTTGAAAAGGGTTTTGGGGGTTCAAAGGGTTAAAGCACATGTTTAATCTTTATAAATTTCTTATGATGACGCCATCCTGTGGTAACATTAAGGATGGCACCAGCAGACAGCGATTTATACCACCAAACCTACACCAGGAGAGCCAGCATGTAGGCGACACTATTTTTCATCAAGATTGTTTCATTTCTCTATGAAC